AAACCCAGAATCCAGAAAGCAAAATCTGATGAATTATTAATGCCAAGAGGCTGGAAGTCATGATCAGAAGTTCAGCCATGACAGTGCCAAAGAAATACACCAGAAACGACAGGTCAGGGGAAGAGGAAGAAGATCTGGGAAATTACCTATACCTGCCTCAGTTACTATGGCTGTATAACAAATTAGTCCACTATTTAGCGGCTTCAAGCAACAACTTCAGTTTTGCTGCTGAATCTACGATTTCAGTGGGGATAGATTGTCTCTGCTCTACTCAGCACCATTTGAGGCGGCTGGAAAGTTGTGAACTGAAATTGTCTAAAGGGTCATTTATAAGTCTGGTGGTTGATGTTAGAAGACTCAAACATCTAGAGACTAGAACCAATGGGGCTTCTTGGATTGTCTATTGCTATGTGGCTTTTCCTTGTGATCTCTCCAGCACAGAGACCTCAGAGTAGCTGGGTATGTTGGTTTCCTGTTGCTGTACAGCAAATTACTACAAACTCAATGGCTTAAATATTGCACATTTATTATACATCATAGTTCTGGTGGGTCAAGCTAAGCCATATAGCTTAACTGAGTGTTCTTCTTAGGGGCTCATAAGGTTGCAGTTAAGGCATTGGCTGGGTTGCATGCATTCTCATCTGGGGGCTCAACTGGGGAAAATCTGTTTATAAGCTTACGCAGGTGCTTGGCAGAATTTATTTCCTTTTGCGCTTCTAGCAGTTTGTCAACAGGAAGCCATCTTCCTGTCCATTTTGAAAGGGAAGGCACATAGACATCATCTCTTAGTGGAAGGAATAGAAGAAAAGCACGTGGGAGTGGAAATCCATTGGTGTCGTTATCTTTGGGACAGACCATTTGCCACTGTTTGTCCTCGACCTCACGTTGTTCTTCCATGCAAAATACATTAATTTCCCTCTCTCCCAGTCTTTGATCTGCTTACCAAGATATGGAACAAGGGTGTGCAGCTACATGTTAAGGGCCATGTGGGAAAAAACTGTACACAGATTGTTGATACAATCTGAGAGAAAACACTGCATAAAGGGGATTTTGTTCATCTGAGCTGCGTTTTGAAATGGGAATTGGTTGGTGCTATATAAGAGCTTTTAAATGTTTGATATTCACTTTCGCACCATAGTTTGTAAAGTCTGTATTACTTTCTGTTTTATTTATGTCTGTTTTATCTCTCTGACAAGACTATAAACCTTCAGAAAATAGAAGCGCTGTATTTTGTGTCTTCTGTGTTCTTTGAGTAATGCTAGTCCCAAGGGAGGGAGTCAGCTCATGCCGACAAAATACATGAATTCCGTTAACTCCCCTGAGGCCCCCACATATAAATTACTGCCAGTCCTTGGAAAAGTCTAATTTGAAAAGGTGTCTGTTTATCAAGTCTGCTATCACAACAGCCCTTTTTATCAAGAAGCATGGTGTGACTTTGAGAAGGAGGTCGGCTGTCCAATGAAATGTCTTCCATTTAGGAAGCTATCTCTACATGAGGTGGAAAGAGAAAGGGAAACACACATAGAGCTGGGCATTTGACTGGGCTCACAGAACACTTGCATAGCTCAGGGTAAGTTCTGATCTTCAAAAATGTCTCCAAGGGGAGGACCAGCAGTTAGCGTAATGGCTATGTTGCTGGATTCCCATATGGTCAACCATGGTTCGAGTCCCGGACCCAGTGGCTTAAAACTCACGTCGGGCGTGTGTGCGTGCGTGCCCAAGATCCCAAGAGGAGAATGGAGGAGAAGGGATTGCAGCATGGCCATCCCCCCCTGGGGGGTGATTTCTTGCTTTCTGTCTCTCTGGTGAGCATGCGTGCCCTATAGCAAAAACCTCTCAAAAAAAAAAAAAAAAAAAAAGTCTCCAAGGGCCTCTCTTCTTCCATCCCACTTCCGGTGGAAGTCATTTCTAGTTTGGGGAGTTGAACTGGTGAGGTGGCTTATGGAACAGTTCCATTTCCTCACTGTGTAGGAATATGTTAAACAGGAAGTTTGGATTCAGAAATATCTTTTAAATTTTTTGAATTTAGTCATAGCTAACCTTGAACAGATTTTTGATAAAAAGGTTTTCTTCATTGCATTTTATCTTCTCATTTGTACTATATTTTTCAACCACCTCTCCCCAGAACCATTACAAAATACCCTCCTGTAGCTAAGCATAGAATCTCCCTCTTTTCTCTTAAATACATACAATCTGCAGCTGGGGGCAGGGTGGATAAAATCTATTGATGTAAAAATAGGAGTGACTGCAAATTGCTTAGAACTTAACTATTAAATTTGAGAATTTCTGAGAATCATGAGACAGCTTGGTGAAAAATGCACCCCCTGCCCCAGGCTTCTGAAGGAGAATAAGTGCATGAAAAAGCGCAGGCGTACGCATTTTTAATAAGCACTGATCTAGAAGTGGCCTTCTTCTCTGCCTTTTCCCAAGGCCAGCATTAAGTTTGATGGCAGATCTTCCACACCCACACAGTGAATTTTCCTTTCCATTCTCCTTATCCCAAATTTACCATTCAGAAGAATAGAAAGCAATGGGTCAAACTAACTGATGAAGATCCTTTTCTGCTCCAACATCTATGATTCTATTAATTATATCTTCAAATAATTCCCAAATGATCATAACCTTCCAACAAGATTGGACTTTTTTTCTTGAAACCAAGCTAGGCAGCTTCATATGTGTTCTAATTTCACAGGCTCTGTACCCTGTGGAAACACTTCCAATTAAACACAACTCTCAATTCAAATTAAAGTTCAACATTGGGGATTGAAATATAAACTAAAGAGGATTCCAAATTTGTTCCTTTTCTTTTCTCCCAGGGACCTCACACCATCATCACCTGGCTAATTTGGCTCATCTCACATACAGGTTATTCTGATTCGGGGCCCATTAAATGTTCAGTAGCTGAAAATGCCTTTCACTGCTCCTTTGGCCAATGGCTTGTGCCACCAGCTGAGACCGACATTATAGGTCCTGGACAATGTCGGTGACAGCACTGACTTCAATGCATCTGTTTCCTGTTGCTCCTGCATAACAATAGCTTATTCACTCATTCTTTACACCGCATATTCAATAGATGGTGGCCGAAAGGCTAGAATAAATTATATGTCTTTGTTCTTCAGGAGTTTACAATTGTTCCATCCATACAGATAGAAGGTGTGGCTGGGTACCCATTCCTTTCAACATGGGTAAAGATGAGGAACTAATGAGAAAGGAAAACTAGGTTCAAGAATTTTATAACTGTTTCCATCTATTATAGACATCATTAGGACTAAAATGGACTTAGAGCATCAACCATGATGAAAATGAAACTCAGAGCCATGAAGGAACTTGCCCAATATTACATGGCCTGTCTATTGTCTCTTTCTGCCAGAGTAGCAAGCTTGAGAAGTCCACAATTGGCTTAGATTTACCAGTCGTCTCCATTAAAATCTTGGTTATCCGAATGGAAATGTAGCTTTCTATTTCTTTAACACTTTTTGATTAGCTAGTCTAACAGAAAAAAAATTCAAATCATTACCAGTCATAAAATTTTAGAATATAAGAGGCCTTCCAGATCATCTTTTCTAACCAATTCCTTTATAGTTCTGGAATATGAGGTTCAGAAGGTTGCAGCTTAGACTCACCCATCTACATGGGGGAGGTGAAAGGATACTGGAATCTAGGAGTCCTGATACCTAGTGAAAAGCCACTCCTGTTCTGCTTCATTGAGGCCAGCAAGTGGCATAATATAAGGCACTGGACTCCCATGTAGCTGATTGTGGTTCAAGTCCCAGACCCAGTGGCTTGAAACTCACACTGGGTGCTTGTGCATGCATACATGTTCAAAAACCCAAGAAGAGCATGAAGAAGGGATTGAAGTGTGGCCATCGTTTCTGGGGAGTGATTTCTCATTTACTGTCTCTCCGGTGAGCACTCGCACCCTATTGCAAAAATCTCTCAAAAAAAAAAAAGAAAGAAAAATACATTTCAATGTTGACCAAAATATATCAAAAAGGCTTGTTTACAATTTTCTTCTAAACTGATAATGATAATATTGAGCTGAAGAGGACAACATGATACACACAATCACCTATGGCATTCTCACTTTGTAGGCTACCAGAATGGATGTGGACACCAATAGGAGCTCATTAGAAATGCAAAATCTCAGAACCAGTAGTTGGTGTAATGACTGTGTCACTGGACTCGCATGTAGTCAACTGTAGTTCGAGTCCTGGATCCGGTGGCTTAAGCTTATGCCGGGTGCATGTGCATGTGTACCCAAGATCCTGAGGAGAATGGAGGACAAGGGATTGCAGTGTGGCTATCCCTCCTGGGGGGTGATTTCTCGCTTTCTGTCTGTCTCTGTCTTTCTGGCAAGCTTATGCGCCCTATAGCAAAAGAAAAAAAAAAAAAAACCTCTCCCCCCAAAAAAGAAATACAAATTCTCATGTCCACCCCAGACCTGCTGAATCAAGTCTTCATTTTCACAAGTCCCCAGGGGACTTGAATGTAGGCCGAGTCTGAGAAGTGTAGTACTTCTACAATACTTCTCTACTAATGAGCAGAGCAGTGGGCCTCAGTCAAGGTGACAGAGTAGAGCAGACAGATAATGCAGCAACTCCAGAGTTCTACTGTTCCTTGCATGGCCCTGAGAAACTATCTAACCTTTCTATCAGCTTCCACAAGAGATAGACTGAGACTCTGGTAAGCAGGGTGCTGTGAGGAGCTGCTGGCGGAAAGCTTTTTCCTGTGCAAATCGTGGAGGACAGTTTGTGTGATGAGAGTTGAGTGACACACATACCACACATTTGATATGCTCAGTGAATGCTATTAATAACAATGTGAATCACAGCGTTACTCCCCATTTACTTCACATCTCAGGGAAGAAATGCATGCATTGCACAATCCATTGAATCAGGCAAAGTCTAATTTTCCTACTGAAAAAATCCTGAGAATCAGGCCAGTGCAGGCTTCAGGAGGAATCCTGACTTAGGTTTCAGAAGCAAAATCATTGCCATTTAAAAGGTAACACGTTGGGGCTGGCAGGTGGCATGGTGGTTAAGGGCTCTGAATTCCCACATGGCTGACTGCAGTTCAAGTCCTGGACCTGGCAGCTTGCTTTTCACTTGCTTTCTCGCTCTCTCTCTGTCCCTCTCTAATCAATTTTAAATAAAGTTAAATAAAATAATTTATTTTTAAAAAAATAAAGGTAACATGTGAGTTCTGTTTCCTCATTACATTGCTTAGTTCTGCCCTCCCTGAAGCTTCTTTAATCTATAGGCTTTGGGCTCCACCTTTAATGTTTTGACTTGCATTTTTGGTTCCAAAGTAAATACTGACTAAGATGGTGGTAAAATCAACATATCCTTTGAAAGGCTGTTAATCTGGGCTTTAAATGCAATCAGATACCAGCAACATACACATTGTTGTTACAGTGCTGTTGTAGGACAGGGTTTGAAGAATTCCTTTCTGCAGGCTGTGACTACCTCATACCAGTTATTCTAGGGAAGGACTGGCATGTATATTTGGCAATGATTTGACTTAATAAATCAATAGCTACAGTAGCCACTTGAACGACATAGGTTTGAATTATGTGGGCCCACTTCCACAAGTATTTTTTTCAATAAATGGTTATAAATGTATTTTCTCTTCCTTAAGATTTTCTAAGTAATCTTTTCTTTCTCTAGCTTACGATATTGTAAGAACCTAGTATATAATCTACATTGGGTTATCAGAAAAGTCACTATGTATTTTTTTCTATGCAAAAATGCATCATGACTAGGGCCAGCCAGTGGTGTGGTGACTCTCACACGGCTGATCATGGTTCGAGTCCCAGACCTGGTGGCTTGCTTTCTCACTTTCCCTTTCTCTCTCTTTCAGTATCTCTCTGGTCAAATTTAAAATAATTGTGATAATAAATAAAATAATTCTTTAAAAATGCATCGTGACTTTTCTGACAACTCATTATAGCATATGAAATATGTGCCGTGTTATCTGGAAGGCTTCTGGTTGACAACAGGCTATTAGTAAAGTTTTGGGAGGGAGGGACTTCAAAATTATGCATGGACTTTAGATTGTGCTGGTGACTGGTTCCCTTAAGCCCTGTGTTGTTCAAGGGTCAACTGTGTTCTCAGAGCTATTCTTGACCTCTGATCTGCAAATCTGACAGCAAGGGGAGATTATAGTAGCTATACTCCTGGCAAAATGGAAATCAGCTGGTTAAACATTTGCTGAAAACTGTTAGTGACCTCTGATAGACGCAAACGTAAGTTGGCCGTGTGTCCTTGGAAAGTTCTGAAATATCAGAGAAAAATAGCTGCCTGACCCAACACAACCCAGCTCCTGGAGCAAGAATTTCTCTGGTCCAGAGAGGTGGGCGGAAATCATGTTTCTGCCGGTCTCTCTCCTCTATCATTGGGTCCAAGGTAGTGGAATCTGTGATAGGAGGGTTTAGAATGATGGTTATTGTCGTGCCTTTCTGAAGAGCCTCAAAAAGTTTCCATCTCAAACTTTCTGCCACCCCTACATGAAGAAGGAGTTCAAGAACTTTTCTCTTATCCTTTCCTCTCCCTCAATGGCTGACATAGTGTTTTGCACACCATAGGTACTTAGTAATTATTTTTTAAATAAATAATTATGCACTGTGTTACAATGATATTTTATACAGTTGTCTACTTGGACATTTACCATGTTGAATTGTTTGATTTATCCGCATGTCTTGTTCCATTGTTACAGAAAAGTCTAGTTCTTATTTATCATTATTTCTCCAACACTTGGCACAGAACCCAAGAGTTAAAGGCTCATCCTTTTGTTATTTGGGAGAAAGTAGGGTAGCAATAAGAGTAAGATAACCCAGGACCAGCAGGTGGTGTGGTAGTTAGGGCACTGGATTCCCTCATGGCAGACCATGGATTGAGTCCCAGACCTGGCAACTTGAAAATCATACTGGACACATGTGTGTGCATGCCCAAAATCTTGAGAGGAGAATGGAAGAGAGGGGATTGTGGTGTGGCCATCTCCCCTGTGTGTGTGTCGAGGGGGAGGACGGGTGATTCCTCACTTTCCCTCTCTGGTGAGCGCACATACCCCATGACAAAAACAAACAAAACAAAGCAAAAGAGTAAGGTAACCCTACTCACAAATATTTTAGTGACAAATTTAACATACTCCTCTTGAAAAATGTAAATGCAATAAGACAGTAACTAAAAGAGCAAGATTGAGAATTTCCCCCTAAAAGGAAAATTAGGAAGTTAAGCATTTTCTACTACATGGCAAAAGGAGGATTGGATTCCAAAGCTTAAAGCGATTCTTTTAAAGCCTTTATTAATATTTTCTGTATTCACTAAAGGAAAATGAGCAGCTGAGAGCATACTAAATAAGAAAATACCAATGATGCACAACACATCTTTAATTAGTAGTAATGAGTGCTATGTAATTAATTCAATTTGTCATCCCTTCTTCAGCAGAAACACCTCCCTTGCCTGCAGTTTTTCATGAGATGCCATAAATGTGTCCTGATTTGCTGCAAATAAGGTGTTTCCTTTCCGGACCTGATTCTTTGACATGCAAGTACTTGTCGCCTTCTTGTGAGCTGAAGCTTGTCCCTTGGGTCTTTTACAGGAGAGTGACCCAGAGGCTTTGGATATTTGGATGAAATGGATTTCTCTAGTTGGCCTAGCTTAGGAGACATCTCTCAAGCCCTTTCTCCAAGACCCGGATGCTGCAGATTTAACTCTGTCCCTGCTAACTTCAGGTCCAACTACAGAGGCCTTCCACCCCTTACCAAGATCGCAGCTCCTCCCTCCTACGTGACAGTGGGTGAACTCCAATTTCTGGCCTGATTTTTCTCTAATGTAATTAGCACCATATAAATGTCTTTGCTGTCTACCACTAATTCATATTTGAGTTCTAACTGATCATGTCAATGGCTCCTCTTTCATGGAGTTTCAAGTTTAGCTTTTAAACCAATTGCTAGTCCTTATTCACTTAAACTCATGAGACACATGTCAGCTAATAAGTTATTGAATTGGTCTTTGGTCAGGGACATCAGATAACCACACAAAGTCATGAAGATGAACTGTCCTTTGGACCTGACGGTTAAAGGAAACCGTGTCGATGCTTCAATATGCATATTGTGTGACTCCACCAAGAAGAAAAAGACATTCCCTTTCCACCCCAAAACAAGGAGAGAAGGGGACAAGAAGAGAAGGAAAAGAATTGTGAGGGAAGACGATAGCGGAATTCCACCTAAGGCAGACCCAGGTCAAGGAATAAAATGGGCTGTAATCAATCTCGCTTGAAACATTCCTAAGAACAAATGCATGCCTCTGTTTATTTCATGAGTTATTTATTTTATGTCACTTGAAGCAAATCAACATGAATAAATGTTCGTCATTCCTTAGTAGTATGCCCTTTTGGGTGCAATTGTAGAGTAAAAGTCTGAAAAGCCAAAAAGATAAAAAGCAGATCTGATGCCACTTTTCGTTGGGAAAAGCCATTCTATACACTACATCAAGAGCAACGCTTGGGACCAGCAGTTAGCGTAATGGCTATGTCGCTGGACTCCCACGTAGTCGACCGTGGTTCGTGTCTCGGACCCGGTAGCTTAAAACTCACGCCAGGCGCGTGTGCGTGCGTGCCCAAGATCCCGAGAGGAGAATGGAGGAGAAGGGATTGTGGCATGACCATCCCCCCTGGGGGAGTGATTTCTCACTTTCTGTCTCTCTGTCTCTCTCTGTTTGTCTGGCGAGCATACGTGCCCTATAGCAAAAAAACTCTTAAAAAAAAAAAAAAAAAAAAGAGCTTGGACCCCTTTGTCAGGGCCGGGGCTGTTACTGGCTATATGATGTATCTGCAAAAATTAGAAAAATATTCCCCTTCCTCCAGGCAGAGGCAACTTCTGACCAGGCCCTGGCCAGCTGACAGCTCCAGGCTACGTCTCAGCCAGACACCCTCAAGCAGTGAATAAACTGCACTGTCTTTCCGAAGTGCCCTTGTCAATGTCCTACTTAGATCCTTCCAATGGTTTGTTATTGCCCTCAAGATAAAATTTAGGTTCTATATTGTAGTTCAGGCTCACTCTCCTCTTCTGGAACTCTTGATTAGACTAATGTGAGACTTTTAAACTCTGTCTTCTGTATCTTTTAACATCTCATTTAATACTTCTCATCTCTCTTGATCTCTCTTGTGCTCTCTTCTGCCAAATTTCTCTGGACCTATCTTCCAGTTCATGAATTCTTTTATCAGCCTTGCTTAATATAATGCTTAATATGTCCACTGAGTTTTCAATGTCAACCATTAATTTTTAAAATTTCTGTTCTGATTTTAAAGTCTAGGCTGCCTTTTTGTTTGTTTCTTTTTCACCCTCTGAAGCTACGTTTTACTTGTCTATTTGCTTTTGATTTAGAAGGCTTAGTATTTTTAAAAATAGTTCTTACAGATAATCACAGTATCTGAAATGTCATGGGTCCTTTCTGCCCTCTGTTTTTCTATTTATTCTTCGTACCTGGTTTTCTTAAATGAGTATTCATCTGTTCATTCATTCCTTAGGACATTATTGGCGATAATTACTTGAGGCCTAGCATGAAAGCGAGGCTTTCTAAGTTTTACATCTGCGTCCTTCAGATTCCTAGAAGTATTATCAGTGTGGAACAACTTGAACGTAAGTTCATAGCTTCAGGTTTTCTGACTGCCCTGGTAATGTGACTTTAGGCTATGAATTCATGGGAAGACTTGTTTTCCATTACACATTCTTTGGGCCAGGTGTTTAATTTCTCCTGCTTTACTCAGGTTCAAAAAGACTTCTCTTGGGGATGAAGATACTTTTGCTTTATTGTTAGTCATTAAAGGTGCAGTCCACTAGGATCCTAGCTTTATGTGCAAGATCTCCTCTTGGACTCCTTATTTGAGCAAACCTGGGCTTTGTCTGTGTTCTTTTATCCAAGAAGCCTTGGCAACTGAAGTTCAAGTTCAAACACTCCATTTTCTGCTTGTTTTGAGGGGCTTTTACCTTTATTTAGATGTTAGCTTAATAGTTCTTAATTGTCATGTCAGCTCTTGAATGCTTTCAAGATTTTCTAAATTATATATTTTATTTTAGGACCAGCGGGTGGTGTGGTAGTTAAGGCATTGTATTCTGACATAGTGACCATGGTTCAAGTCCCAGACCTGGCAGCTTACTTTCTCATTTTCCCTTTTTTTCTCTCTCTCTGGTCAAATTAAAACACATATACACACAAATGATAATAACAAATTAAAAATTTAAAAATCATATATTTTATTTTATCCAAGCTGTTTCTTATTGTTTTGTTTTCAGCAAGAGGGGCAGTCAGAACCTCTAGCTAGCCTTCACGCTATCAATGAAAGCCTGATCTCACTGTGTGACAAGGGCAAGTTCCCTAAACTCTTTGTGCTCAGTTTATTCTTCTGTCTAATGCAAAGAATAGTGCTTAACTCACGGAAGTGCTGTGAAATGTATAAAAGTTACACATGGAAACTGTGGGTAGAACATGGCTGGCATGTAGTAGAACAATGGCTGGCAAGTGTGAAATGGACAAAAATTGCACACGTAAAGTGTGTGTAGAACAGTGGCTGGCATGTAGTAGGACTTCACACCCTGTGGGTCCACGCCTACTCTCACAACCTGTAATAAGCCCTCTTCTGCTGCTCTCACTCCTCACTCCACTTCTCTCCTTGGCTTTTTGTTGCAGTTGGACTTAGTAATTTCTGCAGCTGTTGTAGGACATCTGTCTCCCCAGTTGGACTATAATCTCTAGAAAATCAAGGCCATACCCGATGTTGTCTTACTCAACATTTTTTTTTGCTAGAGGTTGTGTGTGTGTGTGTGTGTGTGTGTGAGAGAGAGAGAGAGAGAGAGAGAAAGAGGTAGAAGAGAAAGCACGCCCCCCCACCCCCCAATGGGACATGGTCACTCCATAAACCTTCTCTTCCATCTCTCCCTCCTTTCAGGATTTTGAGCTCACACAAACATGCACCCAGTATGTTTCTCAAGTTACTAGGTCTGAGATTCGAACTGCATGGTTGGCCATGTGGAATCTGGCTGCCTAAACCACTAGGCCACAAAGTCTGCTCTGTCTTAATTCAACTCAGTTTCCAGTATATGACATGACAAGTATTAGGTACTCACCAAACTCTTGTTGAATGGGTGGATATGTATTTCCACATTTTTAAGAGCACAGCAGAATGTGGACTCTCACTTGATGGAGATAATTTCAATAGATACTTTCTTTTTTGTTTTTAAAGTTTCTTTTGTTTTTAATTGCCAAAGAGGGATGTGTGCTCACTTGTGAGAGGAAGAGAGAGAATCCCCCAAATGATGGGGGATTCTTCTCCTTCCTGACAAAATTTTAGGCACATACATGTATGCACCCAGCATGTTTTGTAAGCTGCTGGAGCTGGGATTTGAACCACAGTCAACCATGTGGGATCTGGCTCCCTTAATCCCTGAGCTACAGGGCTAGTCTCGCTTACTTATGTTTTTTAGAAGAAGAGAGAAACAGAGAAACATCTCTGATAGGGTCTTAAATGCTGCAAACCACCTTAGCCTTAACCAGCCGAGCTCCTAGGCATGCACTTGCATGCCCGACATGTACAGGGAGGCCTTGGGAAGTGAACCTGGAACCTTGCCATGGAAGTCCATCATTGCAGAGTGTTGAGTTACCACTGCCTCACTGGTTGGTCTTTTAATGGATAGTTTTAAAGCACATAAGCTCTGGAACTGGGTCAAGTGTGAAGATTCTAACCTTTAGTATCTCAGTTTCCTTTCTGTAAAATGAGGACAACAGTATCACCTACTTTATTACTTAATGTAAAAAAGGTTAAAAAGCAGAGGTCTACAGGACACTTAATGCAGTGCCCAGTATGTGGTAAGAACTCACAAAATGCTGGCTGCAATGACTCCTGGGATCCTCTTTTTGGTTACTCATGGGAATGGACAGCTTAGAGAAAGCCTAGGCTCAGGCTGGCTTTGAAGTCCAGAGGTGGTATCCTCTCAAGAGAAGCCATATCCCACATGGTGGCCAGAGTTCGAATCCTTGCCCGTTCAGCCTGTAACACAGCAGAAACACACAGGAGTGCCCAGGATTCGATGGGCTGGAGGACTGAAGGGATTGCAGCATGGTCGAACCCTTTGGAGGGTTCTCCTCCCCCTATCTCTCTCTCACGTGTACATACACGTGCTCTATCACGGCTAAAGAAAAAGAAAGTATAGACAAAAAATAGGGGCCATGGACCATCTGGAAAGGTAAAGTATGTCAATGCTTTAGCTTTTCTTATTTCCAAAAATGTGTGTGACATAGTGTTTAGATGAAAACCAGAAAAGGGCTTCTCCCTATGCCGGTACTGCTATTCTCTTTGTTCTATAGGGTGTTACTTTAGCACTTAACTGAAAAAAATGTACACATAGTTATAGAAAGAGGGCTCTCATGTTCCATCAGGTTTTGCCTTTTGATTTACATTTAGTGAAATGGATTATAAATGTTTATACAAATCACCAGAGCAAAGGAATAATGTATTCTGAGGAATCCACCAAGGGAATCAATCTTCTAGGTTGGGAATATGTGCACCCAGCTATCTGGGGGATAGATTTAAATCACTCTAAGTGCAGGCTGGAAAGACAGTGGTTGTTTTGTGCATTAACCTTCGACGGGCCTTACAAACTTACAGACCTACGTTCGAGTTGATTTTCACTCCAGCAGACCGTAATTGTCACAATTTCACATCCGGCCAACACTATGTACTTCCACCTCCCACCCGGTTTACTCCTTGTGTTGCCTGGTTCAGAGATGTTACAGAAGTGAATTGGGTCCTTAGCTTTATTTCAGGCCAACCTTTCTTATTTCAAGTCTAAGCCATAAAGAAGAAATAATGTTATAAAATGAGCAATTCTCCCTTACAATGAAGCTGGAATGTAGGGGTCGGACGAGTGGAAGGAAGCTACAAAACCAACCAACCAACAAACACTATGCAAGCGTATTCCGTTCTTTCTGGAATAAAGTCCCCTGCCCAGTGTCAGCAGCTGGAGAAGAGGTCACAGTTGTCACCGTGCTGTCAGTCTTCCAAAAGGAGAAGCAATACACTTCTGTGTATTGGTGTAACTTATTAAAAACGCTGATTTAAGGACTCATATTCAAACCAAATGAGAACGAGGTGTCCCTAAAATGAATTAACAGAGGTGCTTCTTTCCATATCCATTCAATGGAATGGCCTAGAGAATGTTTAAATGTTCTAGAGTCCAGGCCCCACCCCAGTAGAATG